CGACCTTGTTTTTTTTGACATCTTCTGCAACTGATCCACAGTACTCTCTGGAAAAGTTCGCTGCCGATTTTGACGTGGCGGATGCGTGTGAAAGTGTCTAAAACGCAAAGCCCAGTGCTTTTTCGTTCTCCTACCTGTTGCTCTCCAGCTAAACGGAGGTGCAACGGAGCAGGAGAAGAAGTTCAAGTTGCCTGAAGTCGCATTTAATGCTGATGAGTCACCAGTCAAGAGTGAGACTATTTCTCTGTCATGAGTAGTACTGAGTAGTCATCTGCTGTCATGAGTGGTGGGCCATTACTGAAAAACTTCGACCCTGGGTACCTGCTGCTGAAATGGGCTTCCTGAGACTTGTTGCTGGCCTTATGCGTCTCGACATGGTCCGGGGTACAGAAATCAGAAAGAACTTTGGTGTACAACTGCTGCTTCCTTCGGACTGAGAGGCTACAGCTGCAGTGGTTTCTGCAGGTCTTGCGAATGCCTCCAGTAAGAAAGACCAAGCAACTTCTACTGATCTAGCCGAGCGGCGGAAGACCTACGGGACGGCCAAGATGACCCGCTGCAAGTGTATGGAAGGATGGAGTCTGCTCTCGACTCAGGTTGTCTTTCGCCGAAGCTCAGACTCTGGCACAGGATCGGGAACGTTGGAAGCCCTCTCTGACGCGTCTGCCTCCGCAACCCGAAAGGAGAAGCGACGATGGAAAATAAATGAATGAAGCAATTAAAGTCAACTAAGTCTATGATGTTCTGTCTAAAACGCTTTTCAAGTGCGGTCAGTAGCTGAAAAAATTTGGCAAGATCGAGTGTTAAGCAAAAACAAAAATATCGCGCAGTTCCTCTGCGTGTAACTCAAGTCGGTCTGCATGGCACGACTGACTGATGACCGATATGCTGCAACAATGACGGATTTTACCCAAGGAGCTGCAAGAACAACTTTGGAAGACCTCGGCTGAAATGGGACGATGAGGTAACAGCGGGATAGGGAAATTTGAAATTTCTGATTACAAATCGCAGGACAGAAACAAATGTGGGCGTCGAGAGTTGCAGTGGTGACCCTTGTTAACAAGAAGAAGCATCAGTCAGTTTTTGTTGACGTATACTATATTAAATTTTATTCGATATGATGTCTGATACGAATTTCATAAATCGGAGGGAGATAAAAATCTTACGAAGATACATGCTGGAGCACAGATTTAGGGCTGAAAATCAGAGGAGCAATTGTGTGAAGTATACAAAACCTCAGTTTTTCGTGTGACGACACTGCGGTTGGGAAAATACATATCAATGTTAACTTATTGTCGAGTCCTTTAACCGATCCCGTAGAAATATGTATATTATGAAGTCCGGCTTCTTTTTTGCAGAATTTGCTCTTGCTCATGACCGTCAACCTCCCAAACAAGACGTCTTTAAAGAGACTGTAATCAATCTGAGCAAAGCACCTCTGGCAGGTGAGGAAAAGTCCATGCTTGACAATCTATACATTTCGTTTATTTTGCTGTCACTAGCGCACAACATTCTAACATCTCTTGAAATCGCAATCATACAATCGTACACATTTACAATGATATTCACATCTGTTGTACAGCTATGTGTGAGATGTCTTAAAGAATAAAATAAAATCTGTTAATGAATAACTCTCCCAGAACTCGCAGTTTGGCATATCTGAATAAGCTACCACGATATTTCGGTCTATTTTCCATTTGATGTCGAAGCTCTTCTTCCCAAACGGGATCTTTGTCATCTGCCGGTTTTCAGCATTTGATCACTTCAGTTTATCGTGATGGTAATTCATACCTCAAGTGAATTTCATGACTAATGTTGCACACATTGAGTTTAGGAGATCCTCAAGATGCTCATTATAGATGAGAAGTTTCCGTCTTTGCTTTCCAACAGATTCAGTAGTACCGGATTGTTCCAGCCGCCACCGCAGATATATACTTCTTATATATGAGCTTGAGCGGATCAAAGAAGAGAATGTGCACATGCATGAAACGACCTATTCGCCCTCGTTCCAAGTTCTCGCCCTCGCCCTCGCATAGCGGACGGAAAAAGTTATCGGCAGCCCAACGACCCAGTGTTCCTATTGGCGGGGTACCATGCACCGGAAGTGCTGCACAGCCAACTGGTAAATTCGGATTGGTCCTCGAAGATTAAGGAAAAGACCGTAATTGTATAAAAGGACCAGTACCCGCTGCGACTGGTAGAGTCAATAACAGAGGCATTGAAAATAATGGGATCGGAGGTGGAGATGAATCGTTGTTGACAGCTATTGCCTGCATATATGCAAGACTGCTACATAAAAAGTTTACGCTTCGATTCCGGATCCTCGTCTCTCCCAGCTTCAACCGGTTTTGG